CACACATATGTGCAGTTTTTAGGGAAGTTTGATCTTATGCGAGTAATATTTAGAATATGAAACACATCTTGATTTACTCTAAAGCACAAAAACTCATGTAAAATAAAAACTTAAAAATGGTTATTCTTCCAGATCAAATTATTTTTGAAAAAAATCATTTCAGGGCGTTATGAGTCTTGGACAGAAGAATAAAATGACACACTGATCGGTGATGAGCCTAAAAACCCATCTTATTAACTTTTTTCCTTTTCAGAAATGCTTCCTCTTTCAAATCTGGTCATCAATTTTCAATTTTAAATTTAACAAAAAATTAAAAAAAATCGCAAACCTTAGATAGGCCATATTGGGTCTAGTTATTTTATTGCGTATCATATTAATTGAATGCTGCAAAATTACTGATTAATAGAATCTATAAAAAAATAATTGTTTTTTTTATTTACAATTAAAAATTTGCAAAGAATTAATATTTTGATGAATATACTGATGACAGTTGTAATAGACTATGCCTATCATTATGAGATTATCTCACATTAATCATCTCGCACTAATTTACTGTCAACTCTATGTTAATGAAATTGATTGGACGGTTTAATAAAATTTCTAAATTGAAGAAATAGTGATATATTAGGTTGAGTAAAAAGTCATCGCGTATTTTTTAGCTCAAAGTTGTATATACAATATCTTCGTCAATAATGAATGAAATTCAAATTTAAAAAAAGGGTTTTAAAGCTTGAAATCTCTACTTTTAAAAGCTTATCACATTTTTTAAGTTTATATGAGTTTGATAATTTTTACATACCAAAAACTACGAGCTGAAAAAGACGAAAAATTTTCTTCTCACTTTGTGGATTTGTAACGTGTCCAAAACGAATTTGAGAAAATTTTCGATTACATATCGTGAAAGCTTGATACTTTCCCTACAAAATCGTTGTTTTTAAATATTCCTACGACTTTTGATTACTGAGTTATCGCGGATTAAATAAAAGAATTATTTTGACTTTAATTGCTCATAACTCCATTAAAAATTGTCGTATCGTATAATTTAAAAAAGATATTTTTAAAGCTGAAACTTTACTCTATTAAGATATATTTATATTGTTGGTAAGAAAGTAATTGCGGTTTTTACTGATAGATGTCTTTTAAAAAAACGCGATGACTTTTTACTTAACCTAATAATTAGCTCGATATAACAGAGATGTATAGACATCCGTAGTCGATAGCAACCCGTTTACTGTCGAGGGTCACATCGGTCACATGGGATTGCGAAGTAAACTAAGCGCGGTAGTCGAGTTTCCCGGAGTCGAGAAGAGAATCCGGAGGTACTAAGTCATCGTGGATGACTACGGTGCACCGGGATTATTTTGCTATCGGCTTCCTTTCGTCTCTCGCGAACTATGTTTGGACCCGAAAGTTACGATCAAGTCAGAAAGTGCAGCTCACTATCTCGAGCTTCTAAGCCAGCAAAGAGGAAGAGAATTGTTACGAATTGCGAGTAAGATACATTTTGCACTGGTCTGTTTTAATTGAGAAAATATTGTTTTTGTCTTATTAAAAAGTAGAGAAGGGAAAAGTTACTTTTCTGTTACTTTTACAGTTACTTTTTATAATAATAATTTGATACTAATAATATTGAAATTTTGTTATGACTGTAATAATTAACTAAATGCTGAAGTTACGCTAAAATTAGAAAAGTCATTTTGGAATATACGTTGTCATTACGCATTACTTAAAAAAGTAATTCGTAACGAGTAACGCCGTAAAGTTACTCTA